TGCCTATTTCTGATGTCCGCTGAGATAAACTTTTTTCAGCATGGTGTGTCTTGCATGGCATGTGTGTTCGTGTGTGTGCGTGTGTGTGTGTGTGTGTGTGTGCGTGTGTGTGTGCGTGTGTGTGTGTGTGTGTGTGTCGTGTGTGTGTGTGTGTGTGTGTGCGTGTGTGTGTGCGTGTGTGTGTGTGTGTGTGTGTGTGTGTGTGTGTGTGTGTGTGTGTGTGTGTGTGTGTGTGCGTGTGCGTGTGTGTGTGTGTGTGTGTGCGTGTGTGTGTGTGTCCGTGGCTTGTTTTATTGTGTCAGTATTTAACTGGGGAAATGATGTAATGATAACATCACTGCTCAAAGCTGAAACACTCCAGGAGTTTAGCTAATGTTTGCCACTTACCAACTTCCTCTGGCATCCTCACACAGGGTGAATTGGTTTGAACAGGACTTCCTGGTCGCGTTGGGCTCCAGTAACTTTCTGTGGTTGGTCGGACTCCTGCGTCCTTAATCATGGTTGTTGGCTGGTAAGTGCATTATCCTCCAAGTGTGCCAATTTTGTCCAGTACTTCCCTGTTGAGTGAGCAATGTGATAAGACGCAGGACAGCTTGGCTTTAGAACACACATCTTCAACTCTCCCGAGTCTGTCAGGAGGTTTTGCGATAAGGCAACGTTGGAAACATCTTTTTAACTTAGTTGGGAACGAAAAATAGAAATAAAGCTGCCGTTTTTTTTTAAGTGCCTGCTATATTTGACCTGTTTTGACACCGTACCCTGGCTATTGCTAGTCTGTTATAGTACCAGTGGCATCGTTCCCATGGTATTGGAGTTCTAGGCTATTGCTAGTCTGTTATAGTACCAGTGCCATCGTACCCTGGTATTGGAGTTCTAGGCTATTGCTAGTCTGTTATAGTACCAGTGCCATCGTACCCTGGTATTGGAGTTCTAGGCTATTGCTAGTCTGTTATAGTACCAGTGCCATCGTACCCTGGTATTGGAGTTCTAGGCTATTGCTAGTCTGTTATAGTACCAGTGCCATCGTACCCTGGTATTGGAGTTCTAGGCTATTGCTAGTCTGTTATAGTACCAGTGCCATCGTACCCTGGTATTCTGTTTATGCTCTTTACTGTATCATCATCTGACTCCTCTAAGTCCCTTCTGCTTCGAGCGGCGTGATATGAAACCTTGTTCAGTACGTGCTCAGAAAGACTCTGCCAGAGGTTCTATCAATGGCTTCTTAACCTTGTTCTATCTTGGTTGAAAGCCTTGTGGATCCCCCAGCAGCACTGAGAAACAATTTATTATTCCTCATTTGTATGTCCTTCATATTCGACCATCGGGAAGTAGAATAAGGTGTTTTTCCTGAATCTGGTGAGCTGTAGACCTCTGCATAAAGCCATGTATTAGAAAGTGGTCAAGAGTGGCATTCCAGAGTGGCATTCCAGAGTGGCATTCCAGATTGGCATTCCAGATTGACATTCCAGAGTGGCATTCCAGAGTGGCATTCCAGAGTGGCATTCCAGAGTGGCATTCCAGAGTGGCATGGATGTTATTGAGGCATATATGTGCCATTATAGATTGGTGACCTGCCAAATGTCTGTTGTGTAATCTGATTGGTTGGTATCTGGTTGGTATCTGGTTAGTGTCTGGTTGGTTGGTATCTGGTTGGTATCTGGTTAGTGTCTGGTTGGTTGGTATCTGGTTGGTATCTAGTGGGTTGGTATCTGGTTGGTATCTAGTGGGTTGGTATCTGGTTGGTATCTAGTGGGTTGGTATCTGGTTGGTATCTAGTGGGTTGGTATCTGGTTGGTATCTAGTGGGTTGGTATCTGGTTGGTATCTAGTGGGTTGGTATCTGGTTGGTATTTAGTGAGTTGGTATCTGGTTGGTATCTGGTTGGTTGGTATCTGGTTGGTATCTAGTGGGTTGGTATCTGGTTGGTATCTAGTGGGTTGGTATCTGGTTGGTATCTAGTGGGTTGGTATCTGGTTGGTATCTGGTTGGTTGGTATCTGGTTGGTATCTAGTGGATTTGTATCTGGTTTGTATCTAGTGGGTTGGTATCTGGTTGGTATCTAGTGGGTTGGTATCTGGTTGGTATCTAGTGGGTTGGTATCTGGTTGGTATCTAGTAGGGACCACATTACCCCAATGTTGTGGATGTGGCAGAATGTCTGTATCAAATCTGTTTGAAATGAGTATTTCAGCACCCAGTTATTGCATATAACAACAGCATATACATGTCCATCCATCAGGTATACCTGAGTGAACAGTGCAAAGCAGAGAGTTTGTGCAGTAAATGTCAGAGAAATGCTTCCCTGGTGATCTTTGGGAGGAGATCTGACTTTCTGTTGGATTGTGACAACTCAGAACTGCATGGGAATGAGCTCGAAATAGACTGAGAAGGACATATAAGACTTTAGTTTTTATAAAGATGTTTCCTTCTTCTTTGAGTGTACGTGTACCAGAACAATATGTCACAGAAGATTAGAGTTAGACTGAACAGCAGGACTGAACGGCAGAGATTATATAAAAGTAGTGTCTTAATGGACTGTAGGTTTTCCTTGCGTTCCGCTGCTTTTTGAGTGTATGTGTAGAAGTTGATGGTGTAGTGATGGATCAGATCATCACAGGAAATAAGCTAGAGTTAGTTGGACCAAGGACAGGGGAGGTGTGGTAGATACAGACTGAACACAGACTGAGGACAGGGGAGGTGTGGTAGATACAGACTGAACACAGACTGAGAACAGGGGAGGTGTGGTAGATACAGACTGAACACAGACTGAGAACAGGGGAGGTGTGGTAGATACAGACTGAACACAGACTGAGAACAGGGGAGGTGTGGTAGATAAAGACTGAACACAGACTGAGGACAGGGGAGGTGTGGTAGATACAGACTGAACCCAGACTGAGGACAGGGAGGTGTGGTAGATACAGACTGAACACAGACTGAGGACAGGGGAGGTGTGGTAGATACAGACTGAACACAGACTGAGGACAGGGGAGGTGTGGTAGATACAGACTGAACACAGACTGAGAACAGGGGAGGTGTGGTAGATACAGACTGAACACAGACTGAGGACAGGGGAGGTGTGGTAGATACAGACTGAACACAGACTGAGAACAGGGGAGGTGTGGTAGATACAGACTGAACACAGACTGAGGACAGGGGAGGTGTGGTAGATACAGACTGAACCCAGACTGAGGACAGGGGAGGTGTGGTAGATACAGACTGAACACAGACTGAGAACAGGGGAGGTGTGGTAGATACAGACTGAACACAGACTGAGGACAGGGGAGGTGTGGTAGATAAAGACTGAACCCAGACTGAGGACAGGGGAGGTGTGGTAGATACAGACTGAACACAGACTGAGGACAGGGGAGGTGTGGTAGATACAGACTGAACCCAGACTGAGGACAGGGAGGTGTGGTAGATACAGACTGAACACAGACTGAGAACAGGGGAGGTGTGGTAGATACAGACTGAACACAGACTGAGAACAGGGGAGGTGTGGTAGATACAGACTGAACACAGACTGAGAACAGGGGAGGTGTGGTAGATACAGACTGAACACAGACTGAGAACAGGGGAGGAGTCCAGATACAGACTGAACCCAGACTGAGGACATGGGAGGAGTCCAGATACAGACTGAACCCAGACTGAGGACAGAGGAGGAGTCAAGATACAGACTGAACCCAGACTGAGGACAGGGGAGGTGTGGTAGATACAGACTGAACCCAGACTGAGGACAGGGGAGGTGTGGTAGATACAGACTGAACACAGACTGAGAACAGGGGAGGTGTGGTAGATACAGACTGAACACAGACTGAGAACAGGGGAGGTGTGGTAGATACAGACTGAACACAGACTGAGAACAGGGGAGGTGTGGTAGATACAGACTGAACACAGACTGAGAACAGGGGAGGTGTGGTAGATACAGACTGAACACAGACTGAGAACAGGGGAGGAGTCCAGATACAGACTGAACCCAGACTGAGGACATGGGAGGAGTCCAGATACAGACTGAACCCAGACTGAGGACAGAGGAGGAGTCCAGATACAGACTGAACCCAGACTGAGGACAGGGGAGGTGTGGTAGATACAGACTGAACCCAGACTGAGGACAGGGGAGGTGTGGTAGATACAGACTGAACCCAGACTGAGGACAGGGGAGGTGTGGTAGATACAGACTGAACACAGACTGAGAACAGGGGAGGTGTGGTAGATACAGACTGAACACAGACTGAGAACAGGGGAGGTGTGGTAGATACAGACTGAACACAGACTGAGAACAGGGGAGGTGTGGTAGATACAGACTGAACACAGACTGAGAACAGGGGAGGTGTGGTAGATACAGACTGAACACAGACTGAGAACAGGGGAGGAGTCCAGATACAGACTGAACCCAGACTGAGGACATGGGAGGAGTCCAGATACAGACTGAACCCAGACTGAGGACAGGGGAGGAGTCCAGATACAGACTGAACCCAGACTGAGGACAGGGGAGGAGTCCAGATACAGACTGAACACTGACTGAGGAAAGGGGAGGAGTCTAGATACAGACTTAACACAGACTGAGGACAGGGGAAGAGTCCAGATACAGACTGAACCCAGACTGAGGACAGGGGAGGAGTCCAGATACAGACTGAACCCAGACAGAGGACAGGGGAGGAGTCCAGATACAGACTGAACATACAGTTAATTAATTTGTGGGATAGATGGTAGCATCGCTCCTCTCTGGTGACCTTAGTTAAAGTTAAAGTTATCATTAATCTGTTCCAGCACCCGTGAATCTGGGAAAAAAAACCTCTAGACCTTTTCCACATGTAATTAAATTAAGATGAACAACCTCTATCCTGTTTTAACCTATTCAGTTGGCTGTGTTGATAGATGAATACCCCATTAATGATTGGGTTGCAGAAAGCGTGTTTCCTGAAATGTGAGTGTTTAAGTGGGTGGGCTACTGATTCTCAGAGAGGATTCTGGTGTTGGTCGGTAAAATCCCAAGAATATATTTAGCGTTGTGGCTTAATCGGTGAAACTGTCTGTCTGGTAAACTGCAGATCCTCAGTTCAAATATTGGCTGTGCAATTCAAACACCTGGAAGTGCTTCTCTGGACAAGCTCAGGATGAGAAGACACGGTGATATTAGCCTCATTCTGACGTGGTCCATCTTGAAGGTTGATCTGCAGAACATCTGCATATGTGTTTATCCGTGTCAGTGAGGCGTGTCAGTAAGGCGTGTCAGTGAGGCGTGTCAGTGAGGCGTGTCAGTGAGGCGTGTCAGTAAGGCGTGTCAGTGAGGCGTGTCAGTGAGGCGTGTCAGTGAGGCGTGTCAGTAAGGCATGTCAGTGAGGCGTGTCAGTGAGGCGTGTCAGTGAGGCGTGTCAGTAAGGCGTGTCAGTGAGGCGTTTCAGTGAGGCGTGTCAGTGAGGCGTGTCAGTGAGGCGTGTCAGTGAGGCGGGTCAGTGAGGCGTGTCAGTGAGGCGTGTCAGTGAGGAATGGGTTCACACAATGTGTTCTCTAACCAACGCAAGTCACTTAGGCAACGGTCTAAAACAGTTAAAGACGAACATAATGGGACCTTCTGGCTGATTGCATCATTAATGGGTTAATCAGATGACCGCACACTCTAAACTCCACCCCTACTGATTCATTAATGGGTTAATCAGATGACCGCACACTCTAAACTCCACCCCTACTGATTCATTAATCTGTCTCTCAGACCGGTGATTGGCCATTGACAAGCAGGAGATTGCCTATATTTATATATTCCTGCTTGCACCTTCTAATATGGAGACATCCTGGTGGGTGGAGTCAGAGGGAGGGGATTAAAAACTGAAACAAATATACAGCTAGTTGAAAGATAGATAAAGAACTGAGACAGAAAACCCACGGCATCCTGGGTAAATGTTTCTTACATTATATTTCCTGTTCCACGACAAAGCTGTCTGCCTCAGCATAATCTGTGGATGGGACGTCTCCATCTACTGTGTTGTTTTAATTAAAACACACGGGAAATAGTTCCTGTTTCATTTGGGTCAGCATTTGTTCGTGGCAACAGCCGTGTTCTAAATAACACAGTACACTAGCTAGTGTGCCCTAGCCAGTGTGCCATAGCCAGTGTGCCATAGCCAGTGTGTCCTAGCCAGTGTGCCCTACCCAGTGTGCCCTAGTCAGTAGGCCCTAGTCAGTAGGCCCTAGTCAGTAGGCCCTAGTACACATTAATGCCCTTCATATGGGTTGGGGTGAAACTGGGGACGCAGCCTGGGGAACAGCAGGAGAACAAATGTCTGAGCATGTGAGAATCAAATGTTAAAATCATCCTGTTGTTCTGGAAGAAAAATCATCCTGTTGTTCTGGAAGAAAAATCATCCTGTTGTTCTGGAAGAAAAATCATCCTGTTGTTCTGGAAGAAAAATCATCCTGTTGTTCTGGAAGAAAAATCATCCTGTTGTTCTGGAAGAAAAATCATCCTGTTGTTCTGGAAGAAAAATCATCCTGTTGTTTTGGAAGAAAAATCATCCTGTTGTTCTGGAAGAAAAATCATCCTGTTGTTCTGGAAGAAAAATCATCCTGTTGTTCTGGAAGAAAAATCATCCTGTTGTTCTGGAAGAAAAATCATACTTTTGAAAACAGTCTGTTTGAAAAAAATGATAAATTACTTACATGCACTAAAACATTAAACAGCATATTTTACCACACTGCCTTCATTACCAGAAGGTGGGACAAATAAAACTGCTATTCATTTATGGTGTATTTTAGTTATATGTTCCAGTTCCTTGTATTATTTTGCTTTACTCCTGAAGCTCTTCTACATCCCATAATGCTTTGAAAGCCCTGGCATTCACTTTCTGTTTGTTGACTTTCAATAAGACCATGTAGAGGAAATGCTCTTCTGCTTCAGCAACAAAGCACTCTGGGTTTTTTATTTTCCGGTGAATATCTCTATTCTCTGTGGGATTTTTGCTAATATATTATGGTTGAATTGGCACACTATTCCATGCATAAAACATTCCCCTTTGCTTTCCACCCCCCACCACATCTCCCCACGACTGGGAATATTGTACACTGTCTGAGCGTATTCCTTATATCTTTCTGATGTTGTCACATGTTTCCTGTTGGTGGACAGAGATATTTAGAAAAATACCTCCCAGATGGCTTGCAATAGTATTCTGATAAATAGTTTTATAAAGGAACTGCTGGCATTTGGGAGACAGGCAGAAAAACTGTGTCCTCATTAATTAGTCTGTGCTAATGATTAAAGCAGAAAGGCAGATCTAGGCGTTATTAATTAATATAGTTAAACTAAAGTCTGAGCATCAGTTACGGTAATAATGTTCTCTATATGGCTATTTATACTGTTGGTCATATCTCGACTCATATCTTCACGCTTAAGGCGCTTATTTTTTAAACTCACATATGTTGGCTCAACGTTTATTTGTGTAGGAAAAGATTATCTAAAGAGAAAACTAGAAGGTTAAAGGCTCCTATGAACCATCTGTTACAACGCTCAGACTGAAAGAAGGAAGTTAAGGAAAGGGTTAAGGAAAGGGAGAGAATTTGAGAAAAGTGGGAGAGAGAGAGAATGAGAGAGGGAGTTGGGAGAGGAGTACAGAAGGAGGAGAGGAGAGGGAGTTGGGAGAGGAGTACAGAAGGAGAAGAGGAGAGGAAGTTGGGAGAGGAGTACAGAAGGAGGAGAGGAGAGGGAGTTGGGAGAGGAGTACAGAAGGAGGAGAGGAGAGGGAGTTGGGAGAGGAGTACAGAAGGAGGAGAGGAGAGGGAGTTGGGAGAGGAGTACAGAAGGAGGAGAGGAGAGGGAGTTGGGAGAGGAGCGTTTTGCTTTTCTTCCACTGTTGGTCTTTATATCCCAGAAGGATAAAGACATCAGAGGAGTTGAGTTGGTCCACATCCATGTCTAGTCACGTTATCAGACTGTCAGCTGAGCAGCTTATGCCTTTAGTGTTTAGAGGCGGTGAAAGCATCTCTATAATGTTATTTTCCATCCGTGAGACTTCATTATTCCCACTGTGGATCTTCTGCATCCTGATACACACACACACTGTGGCAACTTAAAGCTACTCCGTGAAACACACACACACACATTATGTGGTTCTGATACACAGACACTGTGTGGTTTTGATTTCCGGAGCTCAGAAAGCCGCACCAGGCATTGATGTGTTCTGGCTCAGTTGCTCATCTGAATGCATAAATAGACGGTGTTCAGTATCAAGGTGAGAAGACCATATACTGTGCATTTAGAGGTGGATTAGGGAAATACTGTAGTCCATATTGTTGTTAGGAGACGAGCTGGAGGGGGCGGGGGTTAGGTTTAGCTGGGCGGGGCAGATTTTAATCTGCTATGGGTGTGATCTGATACAGGCGTTTGCAAGGACATTGGGGGCCAAACTGGAACCTTCCAGAGAAAACGTGAATTTCCTTGTTGCTCCTTCACAGCAGTTAGAGTCTATAAACACTGGTTGAAAGTGCTTCACCAGGAGGTTGGCCAATCACTAGAGGGTAGAGGGGACTGTTGACATGCCGAGCATATCTGATTGGTCGTCCCAGGGTACAGAAACAAACACTGTTATTTAACCCTGTGTGCTAAATGTTTAGTCTCCATGTGTTCCTCAGAAAGATACTTATCGTGGTATGATATGAGATAGTAGATCAATATGAAGCTTTATTCTTTCTTTTTACAAAACCGACTCATATACTCAACACAGGCTCTTCCCAGACTCACAACTCATATTGTGTGTGTGTCTGTGTGTGTGTCTGTGTGGTGTGTGTGTGTGTGTGTGTGTGTGTGTGTGTGTGTGTGTGTGTGTGTGTGTGTGTGTGTGTGTGTGTGTGTGTGTGTGTGTGTGTGTGTGTGTGTGTGTGTGTGTGTGTGTGTGTGTGTGTGTGTGTGTGTGTGTGTGTGTGTCTCTGTGTGTGTCTGTGTGTGTGTCTGTGTGCACTTCTTTCTTAACACAGAGCAGGTGCGACCAAAATAACGGAAACTGCCTCTCTAAATTATTTTGCTATGAAAGCTCTGTTTTAGAAGTTACAACATATTTAGGAGCCAAACACAAGGTGGTGTTATTTTACTTGGCCGTATTCATCCCAGTAAACGTGTTCGCTCTTAAAATCCACCCGACGAATAACAAAACAACACGATTGGCCCTCAAAGAGCACAGAAGAAGAATAGAAAGTATTTTTGTTTGTACTGTATAATGTTTGCTACCTCTGATTTAATCAGTCAATTTACTTGAACTGGAAGACTTAGATCTCTTCTTCTAACAACAGAATGTGACTAGATGGCAGTCCTTGTTGTTATGTCTTTGTAGTTGTCTTCTACAATCCTCTCATCTATGTCCTCTTCATTAGAACACAACAAAACACACGATGTTGGGTGGCCTCTTTCCTGTCAGCCAGGAATTCTGTCGACTCCATCAGAGTACGAGTGACATTATCATAAAAACCCTCGAGCTTCATTTCTTTACGTCGTTGGAGACTAGTTGGCTGCATGCATGTGTGAAACCAGTCATTTGCGGAATAGAGCTCAAGCTGAGCTTTCAGATTTTTTCTTTTATTTTTTTGCTGCCAACCGAATACTCCAAATTAAAATCGCACATTTCAATTCCTGTGGAGATTGAGTGGCGAATGCATCTTCAGATATCTATTATGAATCATTTTGCCTGTCTCACCGGAGAACAAAACAACAACAGATTGCTTTCGCGTACATTTTAATTGCAGAAAGTTTTTTTATACAGATATAAAAAATGTCATCCAAATGAATTGTTGTTTTTGCAGCATCTGCTGTTGCAGCTCTACTCATACATGTAAAAACCGGAACAGGTCAAGGACACGACAACATTTATATTCAGAAAAATACTGAATTAAAAATAACAAAGATTGGTGGAGGTGGGATATTAATGTGAAATGTTACCACAATGAATTCAACTTCCACTGTAACTTAACCAATATGAGTAAAACCGAATAAATGACAGTAATGACTCAAAAAGCATCAACGTTGTTTAAATTGGAGTCTACCTAAAACAGAATGGTGTGGGCGTAAAAAAATATCGCTCAAATCTGAGAAGTGAAGG